TAACTCTGAACCCGTGTCAGGTTTTGCGATCTCTCTTCTCTCTGTTAGTGATAATTCACTACACGCTTCCCTGCAACGTTTCTGGCAACAGGAGGAACCCCTCACTTTCAGGTTAAGTCACAGGAAGAGCTTCTTTGTGATGAATACTACAAAAAATCACACTCTCGTGATCAATCAGGTTGTTATGTTGTGCGACTTCCGTTCAAGACGGACCCCTCCATCCTAGGCCAATCTAGGCCCATTGCTGAAAAGCGCTTGTTTTCTCTTGAGCAGAAATTTAAAGCTCAACCCCATTTTTCTTACTTGTACAAAACGTTCATGTCTGAATATCAAACTCTCGGCCATATGACAAAACTAGACTTTGTTAAAGACATACACCCACACTACTTTCTACCTCATCATGGGGTACTGAAGGACTCTAGCACGACCAATTTAAGGACAGTGTTTGACGCCAGTAGCAAAATCAGTTCCGGTCACTCCTTAAACGATATTTTTTTGACAGGACGTAAATTACAAACTGACATTTGTGACGTAATTTTGAACTTACGCTCTCATAAAATTGTGTTTTCATGTGACATTCGGCAAATGTACCACCAAATACAAGTGCACCCTGACGATCAACAGTTTCAACTGATTCTATGGCGCGACGACCCTTTAAAGGAAATCTCCACGTTTCAACTTACTACCGTCACCTATGGCATGAACAGCTCCCCCTACCTTGCTATCAAAACTTTAATGCAGTTAGCAGAAGACGAAGGTGATGCCTTCCCTCAAGCTTCTCACTCTCTACGTCATCACACCTACGTGGACGACATTATCACGGGTGCTGACTCCGTTTAGGCTGCTCTTGAACTACAGGATCAACTCATCCAACTTCTACATCATGGTGGCTTTGGACTTCGCAAGTGGGCCTCCAACTCTTCTGCTCTTCTAGAAAAATTTCCTTCGGAACATCTAGAGACTCCAAGTTTCCTGCAAGAGGCTCAACTTCACTAGAAACACTAAAGACCACCTCGGTCAAATTAAGATCCCCACTCCTCTGATATCGAGCTTCACGGTTTCTGTGATGCATCGGAATGTGGTTATGCCGCGGTAGTGTATTTCCGGTGTGAATTTAGTAACAAAACAGTCATTGTGAAACAAATATTGTCTAAGACTCGTGTTGCCCCGTTAAAAAAGGTAACTTTACCCCGCTTGGAATTGTGTGCAGCTCAGCTATTATCAAAACTAGTGCACTATTGTGAAAAACAATTTAACTGTCTTACTATGAATACCACTGTATTGTGGAGTGACTCATCTGTAGTTCTTACGTGGCTACAAACCCCTCCCTACAGACTAAAGACCTTTGTGGCCAATCGTGTAGCCCAAGTACAAGAAATCATTCCCAGCTATCAGTGGCGGCACATAAAAGGGACGGAAAACCCCGCTGATTGTGCATCACGAGGAATCCTAGCCTCATCTCTCATTGACCATCCCTTAGGGTGGACTGGCCCACCGTGGTTACAGCTCCCTGCGGCCAACTGGCCCCCTCATGTTTTTTGCCGTCTGAACTCACTCCCACGGACAAAATTAAAGAAACTTCTCTTAGTGTACTTAGTGCAACAGTCGCCCCTTCAGAATGGGACTTATTGTCTAAATATTCATTATGGTTGAAACTAACCCGTGTGCTAGCTTATGTGCTACGATTCATAAACTCTTCCAGGTCTTAAAACAAACTCTCTGGACCCTTAAAACTCAGTGAATTAAATCTAGCGGAAGTGACAATTTTTAAACTAGTGCAAAAACTCCATTTCAGTGCGGATATTAAATTATTGAACAAAGGCTCAATCTGTTCTGTACAATTACAGAAACTCACCCCCTTTCTCGACCCTTATGGTCTCATACGCGTCGGTGGTCGATTGTCACATTGTTCGCTTGCTCATGACATACGTCACCCTATTGTTCTACCCAAGTCTCATACTGTAGTGATTTTGCTTATAGACTTTTACCACCAGGTACACTTACACTCAGGTCCGCAACTAACCCAATCACTACTCGCCCAAAAAGTGTGGATTCTATCGGCCAGGAGTGTTATCCGCTCGCGCATATTTAAGTGTCTTGTTTGCTTTAAAAATAAACCAAGAAACAAAATTCCTCTAATGGGCGATTTGCCTACTCATCGGGTCAATCCTACTCGTCCATTCTCATCTACAGGCGTAGATTACGCCGAACCATTTAGTGTTCGTGTTTGCAGTCTCAAAGCTCTTAGACAGATCAAGGTCTATTTGTGTATTTTTATCTGCATGGCTACCAAAGCTATTCATATAGAGGTAGTCACCGATCTTACCACCTCAGGCTTCATTGCCGCTCTAACACGTTTCGTGTCCAGAAGTGGACTATGCTCCGATCTGTATTCTGACTGCGGAACCAACTTTGTTGGTGCAAACTCGGAATTACGCAAGGTAATCCGTGAAACCACCCTTACACCCGATTCGACCCCCAAAGGAATTAACTTCCATTTCAACTCCCCCTCTGCACCTCTCATCAAGGTGGCTTATGGGAAATTGCCGTTAAAAGTGTAAAATACCATCTGAAACGGGTAATTGGCGAAACCATTTGAACATTGACCCAATTTCAAACTTTGTCCATTCAAGTAGAGGCAATGCTGAACTCGCGCCCTCTTACAGCTCTTAGTTCGGACCCTTCCGAAATTTCTGTCCTGACCCCTGGATATTTCCTCATTGGAGCTCCATTAGTTGCCCTGCCGGAACCTCACCTATCTGAAGTGCCGTTCAATCGTCTTCGTCAGTGGCAGCTTGTCCAGGCTTTTCACCAGCGCATCTGGAGGCGTTGGCAGCTTGACAGCTTGAGTATATCCATTCCCTCCAGCAGCGATACAAGTGGACCACCCCTCATGAGAATTTGAAGACTGGAGACTTGGTGTTCATCCACTCCAATTCACCTCCACTCACCTGGCCTCTTGGACGCATCGTCTCCACTCACCCTGGCGCTGATGGAACAGTTCGAGTCGTCACAGTGAAGACAGCTTCTGGGACTTTCACCCGGCCCGCTCTCAAGGTGTTCCCTCTGCCTGTGATGCCATAGGACTACTAACTTCATTTTTACATGAAAATTTTAGTTTTAGGAAAAATTGTGTTTGCTTTATTTTATTCTCTCATAATTTAATATGTGTTTTCTCCTTTGTTGAAGCCAGTAGCTTCAAGGTGGCCGGTATGTTCAGTATTTTGTTTAAGTATTCGATGTAATATTATTTGTCAGGCAACTCAGCACTGCTTTATTTCAATTGTCTATTATTGTTATCCCTTCCACAGAGATAGAGAGAGGTCCCGTTATTCATCTGTGATTCATTCCACAATTGCGGTTTTCCTGTTTGGCTGGAAACCCTGATAATAGTTCCATAAATTAACAATAAATTTAGGAATAAAAATTGTTAATACGAGAGCTCGGCCCGTGGTCGAAAACTCGACCAAAAGGATATATTGTGCAAACTTCTCTACTTTCACCCCACACTGTAAATAAAACATGTGATTGGAAGTTCTTTAATTTGTTTTGATTTTCTGTTTATATTAATTGTTGTTATTTCGTCACCAACATAGCATCCCATAAGTTCCATGTTATTTTTTAACATTTTAAATTATTTTTTTTCTTATTTTTTTGCCTATTTTAATTTATAAAGAGATTCTGTACATCTACAGGAAAACATCTTTCATTTGGTACCAACAGGGTGTAATTTTGTCCAGTAGTATGGTCAGGCTAGCTGTCATAAGTTTTGCAAAAGTTTTTAGTATATAAGATTATATAAAGGAATAGTAAACTTTTCAGACACATGGGGAAAAATTGAATTACCTTTCATTTAACACAACCTGCATGTAAATCGGTCCATTATAACTCCAGATCTTACTCTTAATAGACTAAAAATTGTAACCCATTTTTAATTGTCAATAGATATTATAATTTCCGTTTGTATAACATTTACTCCAGTAATAGCTGAAGTCGAAGCAAAATGGGCAAATATACAGACAATAACCTTTCATTTGGTACAAACCGTGTGTAAATCAGTCCAGTAGTATGGTCAGGGTGTCTGTTGTAAGCTTAAAACAATCTCCATAATAAACGTTTTCTTTTTATATTGGTTCCTAGAGGTCGCCCCGTGATCAAAAACTCTACCAAAAATAGGTAAATATCTTTCATTTGGTACCAACAGTGTGTAATTCGGTTCAGTAGAATGGTCAGGCTAGCTGTCATAAGTTTTGCAAAAGTTTTTTAGTATATAAGATGGAGCAGGGTATTTTCTTTTTGAATATAATGTAATAAAGACATGTTTAATGTAGTATTTTAAAGTAAGTCATATTTTGTGTGTTATAATAACTGCAACAACTGTAATTCCAATTTTAAAGGGCAGACAGGACTGATTTGAGACAGGTATAGGGAACATTATGAAGGTAACAAGTAAACCAATATCATTGCACTACTTAAATGTTGCATCATTTCAGGCTACAAATACAAATCTGTTACAAAAGTTTTAGAAATCCTTCACGGATGTAACAGATCAAATAGGCTATACAGGTATAGAAATTTACAACACCAGTTAAAATACAACTCCATATCATCATCATGATTGTACATATTTGATCTATAACCATCTGGAGAAAAGCACTGACAATACACTATCGAGATCAACCAGTGTCAGCTGGTGTATTTACATGTTTATGAGAAAGTTATGTTACAGACCAAATAGAAGGAAGCTGGCAGGATAAAAAATTTAAGGAGTGGCCCAATATAATTTGAAATAAACAATTATCACTGGTGTAAGATTAGGTTGTAATAGCGGCATTATGTAGCCTTTGTGGTTTCATAAAAGTGTACAATTACCAACTACAACTATAACCAATTAGACATCCAGCCACCTTCTTGATTCTTGCCTAGGTTAGTTTTTAATGAAAACTTATTAAATCTGTTGTTACCTTCACTAATTATGCCAACAGATCATGTGAGATTACCTTTATAAACCTTTTTGCCTTTGTAAGTAATCCTAATGTTGTGTGTCTTGACGCTTCATGCCCAAGCGGAACCATTTCTTTCAGCTTTTCCAAACAGTTTCGAAGATGTGCACGTCTGAAAAAGTAGATATATATTTTATATCTAAGCAAAATAAAAATTAAAATGTATATGAGTTTTCACGTGAAGAAGAATGAACCAAAGAATGAACTTCTAGCAATTCATAGATTCTGGATTTAGGTAAAATATACTAAATAACCCAGCAAGCCTGCAGACTAAGTAAACCCTTATTTTAATGTTTACAAGCTATATTATTGAGTGGTTTTGCATGTTAAACAGTATATATGCAGTATATATTCATGCGACAGCAGACATTTTATAGAGTGACTTTAAGTAGCTCCGTATATAAACTAAGTTTTTAAAGGTTTTAAGTTTTTTCAATGCTAAAATTTATTTCAAAGTGCTTTTAGCGAATTCCCCATATAGGGAATAAGCTATTACTGTAGGTCTCATGGTAAGACCTAGACCCAGGACCGATTTACTTTTTCGTTTTGAGGTGAATTGAGAGGCCAAAAACACCATCCGTTCAAATTTATATATATATATATATATGTGTCCGTTAGCACGATAACTCAAGCAAAAATGATCTGATTTTGATGAAATTTGGTACAAACGTGTAAACCTACGTTAATTCGAACGAGTTTGCGAACCAGCATAATGGGACCATCGGAACAGGGGTTAAGGAGGGTTTTATGGGGTAAAAATGGAGTTTTCCTATTTTTTATCGTAAAAACAAAAGATTTTGCAATTTCTTTCTAAACCATTTTGTAGAGCTTAAAAAAAGAAATAATTTAGTATGTTGAAGCACTGTTGTACCCCTAACGGTCACAGAGAAAATTCAAAAAAGTGTAATTACAAATTCCCATGTTATTCTTATGGAGAAAATGAAATTTGTTTATGGATATATGTTGTTACATTTTTTCAAATTTATTTATTTCATCCTATACTCATTTATTTCATCCATAGGTCAATACCTATGGTCAAAAAACACGTTTTACCTTCCCCGTAGCAGCAAACCTAAGCACTCGTTATATCTAATGTAATTTAAATTGGGAATAAATATGTCTTATTTATGGAAATATTTTAGTAAAAATGTAATCAGACAATGTTGTTCAAAGGTTCATTGCGGACATTTTCCATCACGATAAATGAGGCTGAGTTTGTAACCTTTGAACAACATTAACTCACCAACATCACCAACAATGAATTTTTAAATCAGACAAGTTTAAATTCGCTTAGTCTGCAGGTTTGCTGCGGCGGGGGTCACATGTGTATCACTGCAGTGCATCAACAGCAATAAATAAATACCTGCAAGCCTGTTTATTTGGGGTAGCGGAATTTTATCCCCCTGGAATTTTACCCCCTGAGCAAAACTGACGTCACAAACCAGGGGTAAAATTCCGGCCACGAACTTTTGAGTTGCACAACATCAGTTCAATAAATTAAAGGTGGAATTAAACAAATATTTTCACGGTTCTGAATTTAATCAAAACATATCGAATTATAATACCTAGAGTGTACGGGTCAGAATTTTGCCCCCGGACTTTTACCCGGAATTTTAGCCCCCGGATTTTTACCTCTGGATTTATACCCCCTGGCCATATATAGACTGTGATTCATTTAATTTATTTCTTTGTTCATGTTCATGCTAGCTTTGTCAAATCTTAGGGGTATTCCACTAATGAGAATGTTAGTAGTCTTGGCGGTTTGAACAGTTTGTCGATTTCAAATTGTGTTATATCAGGTTTAATTGACTTTACTGTTTGGTTCATAGGGTTACTATGGAAATAATTTAATTCTGACTTTAGTTCAGCACTGGTTTGTTCAAACTTATTACTCAAGTTGGTCATAAGGTTAACTAACGTGTTCATATCAATTGAGGTTGTCTGTACTGGAGGATTTGTGACGTTTAATTCATCAGTTGAAGTGTCGGAATGTGTACGGAGCTCTAGATTCACATTATTTACGGGATGAGACCATAGAACTACAACAAGTGGAATGCCGACTCAAGCTGCACTAGGCGCTTAGAAACGAGCCGGCCCTACAATTACTGGAAATTGTTCTTTACAAGGTAATAAAAAAGATCTTTCTGAAAATATATAGTTTTATTTAGTTGAATTCTAAAATGTCGAGAAATTTACGTCGGAATGTAAAATTTTGAAGATTTTTTTACAAAAACATAATATTTATGACTTTTTTTAAAAACAAATAAAATTTTTACAATCAACCTCATAGATTCACAGGGAATTGTAGGGAATTTATTGTAGTTTCAGAATATGTACTAATATTGTATACAATTTAATTGACAATCACAAAAAACAGCTGTTTTTGTAGTCAGGTGACCAAAACTTTCCACCGCCAAAATCTATTTTGAACTCTCTAGTTTTTCAAACTACCGTTTATCGCTACATAATACTCACTCAATAATGTTTTATGCATGAAAATGAATCCTCAGAATCTCATCTTTCTAATGGTATAAGATTTATTGCGTTTTAAAACTGTTTTCATATTTTAATAATAGAAAACCCCGACCCATGTCATCTTGGTCTATAATCGACCAGCGCCACTGAAAACTCACGTTTTAGTGGTCGAAAATCGACCAGCGCCAGATAGAGGGCTAAAGTAACAGTGTTACTGCAATGGGTTAGAGTTTCTGTTAATTAGCATAATCTCTTATTTTGAATTTTGAGGAAACAATCTAATTTATTCGAATTATAGACATATTATTTAATTTGTTGAAGACACAAAGCTTGTATGACGTTTCAAAAAAGTTACCAATATACTACTATGCATATTTTTAGAAAATGCAAATCACATTGATCATTTGAGAAAATGTCATGAATGAGAAAAATTCTTTAGAGAAAATGTCCTCTCCAAGACTTAAGGGTGTAAATACGAGTAAAAAACTTACTCGGAAGTTTACAGAAACAAATTTTCAAACCTTTGAAAACACACTACACAATGTTAATTGGAACCCTTTTCAAACCTTAAATGTAGATACAAATTACAATAAATTTCTTACACACTTTTTAAATTCATTCAATGAGGCATTCCCCAAAACAGTAGATCGTCCAAAGAATAAACGTAACAAAAATAACTGGATAACAACAGGAATACAAATTTCAGGACAGTGTTAATGTACAAAATATCACCACAATAAGAGCCATGGAACGACTTCTATAGAAAGAAGACATTCGAGACGGACCTGTGAAAGTCAAGAGCTACAACAACAGTCATCAGAACAGCAGACCGTCTAGCCCTAACATACAGAACCCGCACCATGATCGATTACAATGATTGATATACTAACCAACAAGCTTACATGCCTAAGAAGATGAACCGCCAGAACTACAAATACAGCGATAACTATGCACAGAACAACCAACATCATAGGAATCAACAAAATTACCGAAACAACGGAAACAATGGTAATGAGTTCCAACAGTACCAACGGACACATCGAGACAACAAAACAAGCATGACCACTACCCAGACTGGAAATATGACCAAAACTACAAATATAATCAGAATTACCCTACCAAGGAACAAAATCAACTATGCGTGATATATAGACCAAATTCAAACTCGCCTAATACCCCGATTACTCCATCCATGGATCCACAACTAAACAGCCACCATTCAAGTTCTCGTATTCCACGATCTCCACAGAGGTCGGAAAACCACTCGGCGCTGTAGATTGCTGCCGAGAAAGAATTATGTCAACTGATTCTTCATTGAATACAGCGCCAAAATACAAAATCCTCGGTCAATCTATGAATCATATATTAAACCATATACAGACAAATAATATATTATGTGATAAAAACTTTCTCAATAAAACAAAAATTACATTCAAATTAACTGCCCAGAAATTAACATAAAATTAAATAACATCAACACAAATGCCTTAATTGATTCAGGTTTGTCAGTTACATACATGTATAGCCGAATAATGGTTTCATGAAAACAGAACAAAACTACAACCATTTGAAGAACTCCCTGTAAACAATATCGTTATAAAAACTGCTGTAGGAGAAAAAAGTAAGCATGTTTCTCGAGAACAATTGTGACGCATAGCGGCACGCTATATTTGTTATAGTGTCAGGCCACCGCGAGCAAGCGAACGGCTTCCCCCACCTACCTTTTCCAATTCTCTTCTCACTTCGCCCCAGGTCCTGCAAGGAAGACCTCTCTGAAAAACTGATCGTCTAGAAACCCTACCTAAATGGCTAAGTCCCTAGATTAATTATATATAATAGATAGTAGATTAATATGTCAGGCTAGTTAGCAACCAAGGGGGAGACCTACAAGGGTCGAAGTCAATATTATTATTTACGAGGGTAAAGGAACTGTTGAAGACAAAAACAAAGGCCACACACATGAAGTAGTGCTCAAGTTGAGGGAGAACTACCTGGAAAAGAGTCACACTGTCCAGTATATGTGGGACCTCACGAGCTGATAGGGTAGGAAACCCACAAGCTGTGATCCAACAAAAATTGAAAACAGGAGAGTCCGACTTCGGAAATAATGTAGGAATTAAACAATTACGGTTCGAGGCCATCAGCCTCGGACCATTTTCAACATGATTAGCGGAACACGTTTTCCCCAGAAGTTTCCTTAGTTTTTCAATAAATTCATAGATATTTCTGATTTAAGTATTTCAATCACCAGTCAATCATTTCATTCATAGTCATTTCCTAGGTCACAAGTTTTGAAGGATAGTTTTAATAAATTATTTCATTAGCATAAATCAAAGCTGGCTATCCAAGCTTCCGGTCTGGGTAAAAGATCTCCATCCTCTGGTCCCCAACACGTCCTTCATGTAATTAATTTGGTAGCAGAATCAGCACGCTTAAATTAGTCTCATAGTACCATAACGTTCATCATTAATATTACACCACCGTCACTCAGTTAGTTCGCCCGAAACGCTACATATGGTAGCAGCCTTAGGCCTAAGACCGGATCACTTTAGCCAGTTTTGTTTTCACATCAACAGTCAGGCTAGGTAAATTTTTTTTTGTGGAACCTTCTGGGGAGACAAATTTTCTAGTAAAATT